TTATCACATTCTCAACTAATCCGTATCGTCACTACAATCTACTTCATGTTACATGTACAAATAATACTTCGAGGCATTTTTATTTTAGCAGACTACCTAGGCTTTGGAACTCATTACCTACTAAAACTAAAATTAATTTACTTAATAATTCTTTAGATAAATCTAAACTTATGTTAAACACACTTTTTACTGATTACTTTGTAAATAACTTTGATTCTTCTTTAATTTGTTCGTTTCATTTTTGTTGTCCTTGTTTCAATTGTGTCTAAATGTTTTTCTGTTCATGTATTTATTTATGTTCTAGCATTATTATTTACTATGTAATTTTAGGTGGCCAGTCTTGTTACTGTGTTTGCCTTCGATACATCTCTTTTTTTGTTTCTTTTCTTTTTGTCACATTTTATAGTATGTATTGTAAAGTTTATTAATAATAATAATAATAATAATAATAATAATAATAATAATAGTCTTGGGTACTTTTTTAGATTTTGGTACTTTTCTTAAAATGGCCATAACTTGAATAATTGAAGTTGGAATCAGCTCAAACTTTCTACACAGCATAAGGACATATATATGTATCAGAAAATGTAATAAAAATTGGGGTTCATTTTAAAAGCCATTTTTTGGAAAATACCATGGGCTATAGCCTTGGGTATTTTTCAGAATTTCAGTGTTTCCTTAAAATGGCCGTAACTTGAAAAATTAAGTCGAAATTAGCTCAAACTTTCTATACAGCATAAGGACATCAATATGTATCACAAAATGTAATTTTTAACTGGCATGAATCTGCTAGCTTTAAAACTTTTTAGGAATCAGCTTAAACTTTCTCCATAGCTTAAGAATGTATCAAGAAATATTGGAGGCATTATGGTACATAAAAAAAACATGTAAATGTACGTCTAACTATCAATTATCAGTACCTGTCCAATGTCAGTTGGTATCATGAGAGACGGAAGATATTGTGACTGGAGATACAGAAGAAATTCCTCACCCTAATTAATGCCCATCCAATAACAACAAAACACTAATAGCACCTTACCCTCTGTGTGACTAGCTCCTTCAATAATGATACAATCTCACCCAAACACTGCAAAAATAGAAATTATTTCATTTATTATTATTTATTTATTCTCTTTATTTTCTTACTAAATAAGCTTGTCCTTCATTAAGGTCAAAGGTTGGTTGAAGAGGTACGATGAAGCAGATTGGTAGTATCTCTTTATACACGTAATCAATGAATCCACTGGTTGAAGGATAATCCAATAAAACATTTTGACCACCTACATGTACACGATAATTTTAATAAGTCAATAATTAATAAAAAAACAAAAAATAAAAATAAATTTTCAATAATAAAATACATACTCCAGCCTTCCACTAGCTTCTTTAAACTCATAAAGCAGATCCTCTTAACCTTTAGTGAGGAAGACAGAAAGCATTAGAAGCCAATACAAAAGGACTGGAGGTGTTCTTACTGATGGATCGGGTGAAGCTGAAGCTCCTTCCACTATAGAACCAAGGACACTATTAACTTGCTCCATATCTATAAGAAATAATAATAAAATAATAACTTAACTATAATTAAATAATATTAAATAATAATAATAATAATAATAATAATAATAATAAGTGAAGCACTCACTTTGAGAAGCAATCACTTCAGTGACTCCATTGATGCAGATCG